TATACCGTTTAGAAAAACCAAAGAAATAAGGAACTTACTTCATATCCGCTCTTCGTATGATATCCAAAAGACGTGTAATATTCCGGGCCGTCCATTGTCCAAGTACAGATGATGGCGCGCTAGAAGGCCATGTTTCCCATCTCGGATCTAAGGACAGCTAAAAGCAGCGATACCGTCTCAAAATGAAAACTCCAACTAAAATGTTAGAAGATTCAGAATTTCCCACTCACATCTTTACGCGTAGTCTCATTTTCCGGAAAAACGGCAAGATATAGCACAAGCGTATCATACATACAGTCCCTGTAGATTTCAATAGCACGAATCGCAAATTCGGGATGATTCTTTAATAAAGATACCGAATGCAAGCATCGAAATGTGGAAATGAGATTCTACGGAACTCACTGTGATATCCAATATTTGACGATCAAGATACATATCTCTATGTTGCAAAATGCAAACACGTAACTGTGTAGGAGTAAGATAAGGCATTTTACGAACGTTATTGACAACCTATATAATTCAAACATAGAATTTGAAAAATTGTGACAGAGTAGTAGCAAATGTTAAAAAGGTTTACCTGGATGGAAGAAGCAAGATCAAGAGGACCCGAAAACTTGTTAAACAGCTCCTCTAATAGGAATGCTCTGGCTTCCACCAACTTGTCAGCAATACCCTGAATGTTAATGAGCATGTATGGAAGATTGTTAACATAAATAAAGTTTACCTTGACGAGCGGATTCTTTATGATGGAATGTTGTTGTAGCATCATACCATAATTTGTCAGAGAGTAGGCAGCCTCATAGTAACCAGCACGAATGCATACGTCCATTCTCTGGAAGACAAAATTTGGGGAACAATAAAGTAAAGGAAGTAGTAAACATGGATTACCAAAAGCGGCATATAACTTACCGAAGGAAGCGACAAAAGCTCCCACACTGGACTGTCCTTTTCGCACGCAGACTTCACCACCTCTAACTCTTGACATACATCCTTCGTGCGAGTGTGGAAATCACGCAATTCCGTAGCCAACTCAGGTATTTCTCCGCTCACAACGCGCAGCTTGTCCTTCATTTCAGTGAACTAAAAAGAGATGTCACTGAGTGAGATGGAATCGGAGCTAATACACCATCTAGAATGAGCAAACAAGAACGTAAACGTACAATTTCGGTACAATGTTGGGTAGTCCTCCCAGCATCTGCATAAGTTCTGTAGTTGTTAAAAGCAAGATCACCAATTTGATCTTGCAAAGACTTCAAATCGTTAGAAATGAGACTTCGCTCACGCCCTAAACATTAGAAGATCGAGGTACTGTAGGAATAGATAGTGATAATTAGCTGATTTACGGAGCGGAAAATTCAGATCTTGAGCTCCTTTCAACTTCATCATACACAGTTTATAAGTTGCGGACAATTAATTAACTCTCGACAATTCTAATCAGTTGAGTAATTCTGTTCCTCGCAATATGTATAAAAAACCATAACCTACAATAGTAAATCAACAAAATATTACTTAACTTGTATGGAATGGGTTTCTGGGACTATATGGCAGCAAGGCCATTCGCTACGGAAAACCAATTCTTTTGAAAATTAGCCAAACAGAGTTTGAGAAACACATTCTACGAAAACTTAGCGGAAAGACTATGGCAATGACCAAGCGGTGGAATGTATTTTGGTGATTGGTTAACTCTTCGGCGCAAACTCTCGCAACATTATAGTAAGCGCTACAATGCTGATATGATTTCCATAAAATAGATCGGATTCAAAAAGCTTTACTTTACAAGTTTGTTACGTAAAAAGCAAACTCACTGAGCTGCTCTGATCCCATTGTTCGAAGCTCATCCTCGATCATGAACTGCGATGGGAGATCCATACCGAAGATGAGGTGCAACACAACCTATAGAATATAAACTCTATCACACGTAAATACCTTTGTAAAGGAGCTTTTCTTTGCTGAACTTTGATTCGGGGAGGTAAAGCACAGCTCACGAGCAAAAACGCTTATATGCAAAGATTCAACCCCAACTTCACTGAAAAATTACAAAAGGAATACCAAATCTTCTTAAAAAGCTCCCAGAAACCATCTCATTGCCAGCTGGTGAAAGTGCGGTGATCCTGATAGGATTTCCCTGTTGACAACTGTCCAAGGGATGGAATAGAGCGCAAAAACTTCAATAATTTTTTGAAAAGTGATTGGCTTGTTTTTGTTAACTGTAAGGAAACAGCAAATTAAACAATTTGCCCTTCACCTGCTCTTATGGTTTAGGATGGCATTGAACCGTGATTATGTTCTACGCTCGTTTGAAGTGAAGTTTGTGTGATGCCATAGTTCC